AGAGTCATAACTCTGTCAAATCTGAACACAAAGATATGATCACAAATCTTTTGAGATTCAGTGAGACTTACACTTTCTGAGGATGTCATATTTTATGTCCATCATGAAAATCATCACAAAGTAATACAGTGACAGTTGTTTGTAGCTCCATGAGTACATTGTAAATATGAACTGCACATAGCTAATTCAGCAAACGTTTAATGGTGCCAAAAGAATGTTGCTAGAATACAATTATAAATGTAGGCTAAAAATAAACAGAGTTCAAGTTGAGGCAACAGCTAACTTACTGAATGCATAGCAACATAATATTTCCCAAAGCATTATGGGAACTGCAGTTCCAATCCTTAAATAGATGATTGTCCCTTTTTTCATGTTGTATTATCAATAATCTTTAGAGAGAGTAGGGGTCTATAATCTTTTAAAATAAAAAAGAAGCACCTTTGATTGGTAGTTTTAGTTCTTTTTGTTGTAATATGTTGAGTTATCAAGGGGCAGAATTTAAGCTCATTGAAGAAAATGCCTAAAATGGAAACGAAGGAACTTGAATGAGCTTCTTTAAGGTTTAATTTAATTAAAATGTCAGTTACATTTCCTTGAGGTTACTGAAAGGTCTTGTTACAGTTTGGTTGACCACACAGCTAATATACTAGATACCATCTCTGTGCTGTACACCATCACCGGATGTTTGGTTACAAAGAAAGACCCGATGTGAAAATATTCTCCAGTACACGTCCTTGAACCTGATTTATTACATGTGAGTTTCGGTTAGACTAAAGTACATTGCATCCTCTCTATCTCTGTAAAAATGATAAAAGCAAATATGATCTGGTGAGTCTCAAAAAGTCGGCAAATCTCATCCACTCAAACAGCAGAAATACTTGTGTCTAATCCCTCAAATTTTGTTTTTTTTTTTCTCCGACAGTGCCAAGCTGAAGAACAACAGGGAAGTTTGCATCAACCCAGAGACCAAGTGGCTGCAGCAGTACTTAAAGAATGCCATTAACAAGTAAGAAAAAAAACCTCCTCTCTCTCTCGCTTTGTGCAGACACAAGTAGTGCTGACAGAAATGAAATACATCTCTCTTCTGCACTGAGTTTAGATCTTACAAAGAAGAAATAAACCACCGTTACAAATGACCATTTCTCAGTTTCCTGCTGACAATTTATCTCTGAAATCACTGATGTGGTTGATGTAAGCAGCTGAGTTATTATCTGTGAAATAATTAGCATCCAGTAAAAATAGTGATAAATCTGCCACCGTTGTGTCCGCTTCCTTGTTTCTTATAAGTATGTGTCTGAGACTTCAGACAAGACTGCAGCATAATCAAATGTTCATCATTTTTACCCCCTCAGCTCACTCACAGTAGCTAATACACGTGACTTTCTTATTCCTAAGAAGCATTTTCCATAATTATCATCACTAATTGCACATGAGTGACAGAGTTGTACCGGTTGGGGAGTAACATTGTGGGTGAAAGCTACTCATAGTAAAAAGTGCAGCAGCTCATTCAGTTTTTAATGAGCTATGCAGTTAAAATGTGTGCATTCCTCATAAAAAAATGTTCCTAACATGTCTGGCAGTGATTATCGCCAGGCTGCATGCTTCTTAAAATACCATAAACACTCTAAGCACAATGTGAAAACAAACAACAGAGTAATTTCTGAGGATTTACGATAAATTGTTCACTGTGTTAGCATTAATACAGTTTTCTTTTTTTTTATTTGGTATTATCCTTGGAGGTATCACAGTTCATTGAGGCTGGCATGTGGCACAGCAGCAAATAGTCCGTCAGACTGTTAAACAATGACTTTTCATATTCTGTCTACTGTGTTTCTCAGCGCTACAGCATGTACTGTAAAGAAGAGAGTATCACATCGTATAAAGAAAAATGTCCATTGTGTCCAATGAGAAGCAGCCTTGTTTTAAGCCCTTCCAGCAGGTATTTTGAGCTTATTCAGTAAGGTTTATGTACAGACAAATTACCAAAACTGCACTTATAGAGTTCAGCATGGGAAGATAGTTCAGTGTTTTAAGTGTGTTTGCACAATTTAAGTGGTCATCATAGGAGTCATGAATTAATGGAGAATGTTTCAAAACTCCTGTTCACACCAAAATCCTGTGTTACAGTGCTGCTAGATATAAGAGAAATAGCCAAGAATGCATACTGTTAATACACTTACAAGTGTGTAGTGTGTGTCTGTGTGCGTGTGTGTGTGTATGCAGAGGCTTTCTTATAGCGTGGCTGCTTTTTGTCAGAATCACCATTTTCAATGTTCAGTTACAGTTAAACATAAACCACATTTATATGTTATGATGTTCCTATCAGAGCTGTTTGCAAACACCTGAGGCCCCTAACATGTTCAAAAACAGCAGTGGTGCCCAGGCGCACATTCATTTCTTCTGTTAGAAAATATGTACAGTACCAATCTCCTAGAAATTTAATTTATATGCTACCATTTTTTTCCAATTATCTTTTTGAAAGAATTATTGTGGTCTGGATTATGTACCCGCATGTCCTTCACACGAGTTGTAGGGAAGATGTTGGGGAGTTAAAGAGAAAGAGTGGAAATATTAGGACCATAATTAAATGTTACTAGTTGGCCAGACTAACCAGTATCAGATGACATTTGTGTGCTCTTAATATACATTTGCTCTTTAAACTGCAGGACATCCATGTTTATATATCATTCATCATCAAACTTGATTAGATTTTTATAAAAACATATTTAGTGAACCCATTGATACTAATTTCTTGTATAACCCATCTTGACCAGAAAAACACAATTGCTAACAAATCCCTCTGAATCTCTCTCCAGGGTGAAGAAAAACAGAAGACGCAATAACAAGAAAAACTAAAAACAAGGGAAGACTTGTATGTCGTCAGACCTGGCATCCCCAGGTTGATCCTGTATACCTCCCTATCACTGCTATGGATGTATGTAAACACGCTGTATGTACCTGTCCATCTCTCTGGATCGCTTGCAGAACCAGCACTTCACCGCCAAACCATGCCGTCCCCAGCACCGCCACCAATCCCCCTGGACACCCAGTCACCCTCATGCAGTCACCCCCAACTCTCCCTGTTAGCACCAAGTGCAATTATACCACTGGATTGATGCAGCGCATGCTGATGTCAGATATACTTGTGTGTGTGTGTGTATGTGTGTGTGTGTGTGCATTTGAATCTGCTTCACATGAACTAACTCTGACTGTGTGTCTGTATACAGTACTTTCTGATATCACGTAGCTATAAACGAACAATTTGAGCTTCCTGTCTCACACACAAGGCTTTGTGGGTAATGCTACATTCACTCTCTGTCCAATTAACTCTAAATTTGAGCTGCTGAAACACTCACACAAGCATCCTTGGAGGAATTTGTTGGCAGGTTCTGTCTAAATAGCCCAAATGTGGTTTGTCAAACAGAAGAGATGGAAAAGTGAAAATTATGAGTTATATTTACAGCAGCACACTTACTTCCTCTTTAACGGTTTTTGAAAAAAGAAAAGTCTTATCTTACTTTTAAAACTAATATTTGGGATAGTGGTGTTACAAACTTTAAATGTGACACTTCTCATGTGAGGTGAATTTGGCATTACTCGAGGACCGAGGGCTTATGGGACAGACATAGAGAGGCTGTGGGGTCACAAGCACTGACCAATCAGGGCAGCTTCCTGCACCATCAGGAACAAAACAGATGGAAGCTCACACACACTGCTAAGAGTCAAGCACTGATCTTATGGTGCTATATATTCAGTATAAGGGGTCAGAGCCATGTACATAATTATACTTCACTGTTTATTATATGCAAGATTTAAGATGGGGTGTGACCTTTATATCTTAAATGAAACACAGTTTTGTTTTTACTTGTCACACAATATTTAAAGCGCTGATATAAAATATTAAATGGAAAGCTGATGTTGTGCTAAGGCCATACTATACTGATAACAACCATAAAGAAGTGGATTCAAACATTGATCAATGCAGCTTTCTTACTGATTGATCAGTAGTAACAGAGACCAAATATTTATACAGTAAAACATGAAGAAACCTGTGAACCTCAAAAAGCATGATTGCCTCTTTCATATATTGTTATAAAAAAAGGTAGAAGAGAATCATCATAATTATTAATTTTCAAAGGGACTAGGTAATATATATATATATATATATATATGGTAATATATATATATATATCATGCATATCAATAAAGCAATCAACTGCAGTATTTCCATACCAACACCTGTCCTTGGTAGGAATAAAAAGCTAATAAATTGTCACATAAAACAGCTGAACGATAAATGTCACAAAGGGATTGTTCATGGTGGCAAAAAAATATTTAGTTTTGATTATCCTTTTTTATAAATATTTGAGCCACTTTATTATCAGATGTGTTTTTTTTTAAATGTAATTGTTTTATTTTTATATTGTGTATAATCTTACTTAATGTTTTTTTAATGCAATGTACAGTAGGCAGTAGCTACTAAATGAAGGCTAGTCGAAAATGCGAGAAACAGTATTAAACTTCATTTTTAAGGTTTCATGCAATATTTCACATATATGTAATGGTTTGTTTGCAAATATATTATACACAATATGCAACTCATTCCTTTACCAAAGGATTAAAACACTATTTTTATCTTTCTTTCTTTTTTTTTTGCAATGTGGAAAATCAGCCAAACAAATCAAATATCGTCTTTCTGGTTTAGTGTTCGGTCCATTCTGTTTCCTTATCAACCAATCTGAGATGTAACAAAGATGAACTGAATAAAAACCTGTCCAACACACAGTGATTGAAAACAAAAGCTGCTGTCATTGTGTTACATGAGACAGGAAACTATTCAGCTCAGCCCACTAGTTGTCCCCGTCGAACACAGTTTTTATAGAGTTTTACTGAGATTGATGTATGATGTGTCAATAGAGCCACTGAGCCAGAACAAAACCTTTGAGTTCAGATCCAAGCGACCAACATGTGCTTTCAATCTGGACACTCCCAGCACCCCACGGGCTTTCTTTTCAATTTCGCTCGACTGCTGCCATGCCGAAAAACTAGAGGCTGTTTTTTTCTTCCCTAAACTGTAATAGAAGTCTGGTGCTTGTGGTCATTGTTATGGTCTTTGTTGTGTTTTACATGGTCTATTTGCTGAGTGCCTGATTACAAGTGATAATCATATCAATTTGCAGCTAATGTTGCAATAATCCTGGAAGTGTAACCCATTTCCCATTAATGTAATAGAAGTTAATAGACATTAATTTTATATTATTATACTAATTTCTTTAAAAACATTGCTAAACAACCTAAAATGTTCCAATTTCCATGCAAAGATAAATGACTTAAACAAAACCCCCATCCATTCCCAAATTAGCTTATTAACTATAGAGCTACATCTTGTTACTTCAGTAAACTTTCTAATGTATAATGTAATGTATAATTATCCAACTAACAGGGAAAGTATACTGCATTACCTGTGGTAAAACTTTATTAAACAAACTCTTAGTGGCATTTGTTTCATTACTGTCTTATGATAATTAATTTGTTCTATTAATCAGACTTGTTTTTTTGTTAAGTACTGTGCCCCCTGTGGAAACATTCTAGACAAATACATAGACTCCTTTATCATTGTGCAAATAGAGCTTTTACAGAAGGTTTGTGTGTATTATTGGACCAGGCACACATTCAGGTTCACATTCATCACCTTTACTGTGTTAATAAATGAATACAAGTGGGTGCATGTGTTCTACTTTGGACCCCAAGACAATGTGAAATAACTTCTTTTGAGGCAGCTTTTGACACATATACTTCATATACATGAGATGTATTAGACGTATTGCCCTCTGTATTGTCACTGTTTGTAAACCAAGAGGCAGTATTTTAGCTATGATACTCAAACCTTTTTTCAATAAAGTCATATGAAACAAAATCAGTTATACATGTCTGTATTTGACCTTTTTATTTATGTAAAGCTACATCAAGTGATATCTGACTGTGGGGGGGCAGAGAGGTTTCAAACTAAAAGTACAGAAAAACATCTTGGATAGACTATCGGCTTACCCAGTTGTTACGGATGGCCTGTTGGCAAACAAATGCCTAACACATCCAGCAGGCATGGAGCAACATGAGCATCCCATTAGAGTTGAGTTTCTGGCCAGCACTCACTTTCCTTTTAGCTTTAACTTGTTCCTCCAACTCCTTATAAGAGTCCATATGGTTAGCCTGTCTGCTATAACTTACATGTATATGCAACAAATCTGCAGCAGCAAATACATGTTGGGAGAAACTTAATTATCAAAATAATGAGGAAACATTTTAAATGACTTGAGTCACAAAATGTTGAGGTTTAAGTTCATATTCTAGTGGCCATAGTCTGTTTAAGGAAGATAACAAAACAAAATCACTTTTTGTGACGTTTTACTGTAACCATGACAATGAAGGTCACAAATACTTAACAAAGATGTAATTTCAACCCAAACCACAATGTTTCTGTAAAAGTCATTGTGTCTAAACCTAACCAGACCTTAACCATAGTCTTAAAACATCATAAAGCCACATCATAAAACAAATTATTATTTCAACAGTGTAAGGCAGACACTCAAAGGATGTCGTCCTGCCAATAGGGGCATTTGGTCAGAAACCTTGTGCATCTATGCATCCTTCTAGAGAGTATGGACAAACAATGTATTTTGTCTTTTAATTTAGAAGATTTTTTCTTCATACTGATCATTCCTGTAAAATGGTCAATGACAACATATTTCATTTGTTTTCCAGACAAAAAACATATCTGCTTGTACAGATACAGCATGATTACTGTTTGGTTGTTTTAGGCACTCAAAGCACTTGGTTACATTCAGGGAACGATTGTGGTCTTAGTCAAACACAGAAAAAGTCTAAAAGTGACTTTAATCATGAGACAGGGCATATTTAGCTTATTAATATGTAACCGAGACCACAATCTTAACAATATGTTTTTGGTCCTGTGCAAATCCCAGTTTCTTGGGTCAAACTCATGCGTTTTCTACCATCCACCATGACTGTCTCCCTGATTTCCAGGCATTACAAAAATGTAGTATTTACTTAATTAGAAAAAAAACATTGGCACTGAGATAATCCTGGCAACAAATTAGTAGAATATGTAACGTCTAGGAGACAGGGTTGCTATATGGAGGCTTGAAAATAAAAACTGTGCTAAGAACACATATCTGTAGAGTCAAGTGTTGATTCTTATTGGGTTCAGCAGTATGAGTGATCTATTTTACATTACAGGGAGTCATTTGGTTGAAGAGTAATACCTTAAAAATGTCTAGCAGAAGTGCTGAGAAATGTCTCTCTTTAAAGAACTGTCATGAGGAGTTACTATCTTTGATAGTAATAAAAAGTGACTGCACCACACCTCAGACAGGTGGAATAAGTTGTCCTACAGAGCATGCAACCTCTCTTTCCACAGAGAGAAATGAATTACAGGAGACCAGACTTCCTGCTGCAGGTTCTCCAAAATAAACCAGTTCGAACAGAAAAGCATCACAAGGCCAAAACCTCATGCAAACAATCTTGCATTGCATAGGAACAACCATTCCTAGGCTAGATGAATAATTCAAGAGGACTATCACTTGACATTTTCCACCTTAGAACTGAATCATATTCAGCAAATCTCCTACCAGTAAAAGGGGTAAAGAGGAAACGCACATGTAATGCCCATTAACATCCCTGTCTGATATTTTAACACCTGGGGTTTTTAAAAAGTATTCGTTTGTGCTGGTTCATTACTCGTCCTCAGCACCAGGGAGTCTGTGTAGTTTTATATAGCTGTCAGCTCTAATAAAGTGGAACCATGTAGAGCGGATTAATTTCATGGTACAGCTCTTACCTCTGACCCTGTGTGTAGATATATACGAGGAACATGAGACATGGTTTGGACGCAGACCAAGTGGTTTGGAGGGTGAGAGTTGCATGTTTGGGCCTTTTGGGCACATCAGAAATTATTATGGGATTTCTATACTGTGCTTACTCAGCTGAGACCCGGCCATGATGGAGGTGGCTGACATATGTACAGAATGTTTATTAATCTGTATTTTTACTGACACATTGCTCTGATCCAGTTCAACAGAGCAATTTAGAGGTTTTTACAGTAAGAAAGAGGCTTCAGGTCAGTGTGTGAAATATTTGTAATAAAACTAGATAAAACATTACAAGCCATTTGTGACTAATAAAATAACTCCAGTGGGCAAATTAGAGTCTGAATCAGACGTACACTGTCCAACCGAGAACAATAAAAGCACAGACTGATGAAGAGACGTATCAACAGATGAAGCAGCAGAGTAAATGTTGACACAAATGGTGCAGGGAAAACTGGACCTCACACACAGTTCAAGGAGACAGCGAATGATATTTGATGGAGCACACTGTATTCTACACACTTGTTATACTTCACAGTACAATAGACCATACTGTGTGTGTCTTAGTCAGCCTAACATTATGCCAACACGCAAACTGTATAAAGTTCACCATCCAACTTGCAGGAACTCTTTGGCTGATCAGTCACATGATGCGTCATTGATTCATCTTTCATTAAAAATCTAATTTCAATCTTATAAAACTTAAACTTAAACTCTCAAAGACTGAGAGTTTGACATGTGAATCCAATGAATAAAGAGTATTCATATGGTTGAGTGTGTTATAACCAAAAGGCAACCTACATGTCGGGCAAATGAAGCCAACATGGAAATAACAAAAACTACAGTTTGAGTTGGCAAGACTAAGTGTCTACAGTCATGCTAGATGTACTGTGAGACTGAGGTTTAGCCACAGTGGTGCTTGGAGCTAAATGCTTACGCCGGCATGCTGATGTTTAGCAGGTAATGTTTACCATGTTAACCACCATCTTAGTTTAGTTCAAAACCTTTTTGAGAGTGAGGACCACCTAAAGCCAACTGCAGAAAGACAGGATAGGAAAGCATGGTTTCAATATAGAACATGTAGTTAAGGCTAGTTCAATATATGTCATCAGTAATGTTTTTAAATGTTTTACACAATGGGACCTATTTCAACCAAAACTATTTGAGAGTGAGATTACAAGAATATTGTCTATGGGTACCTCATAGGCTACTTGTGGGCTGCCCGGTGCCCTCGGGAGACCCCTGGTTTAGTGTTTAAGTCTGCTAACATTTGCTAATTAGCTCTAAACACAAAGAACAGCTGAGGATGAAGAGAATGTCATTAATTTTTTCATGAACAAAACTTAATGTCTGCTTGCTTTTCATCCAACAGGTGTTGAGATATTGTAGTCTGGACCAAAGTGATGGTTAAGTGTAAAAAAGCTTAATTTCTCCAGGTTTTTGTCACATAAAGGAAAATTGCAAAGAAACTAGAAAAACAAATTCAGTACAAAACAGTAATTAACCTTTTTGGCCTTTTACTTATTTATCTTGTATTATAGATCCAAATTCAAGGAATAAAAAACTTTAAACGGTCAACTAAACACCTCAAACATGAAGAGATGTTTTCTGTGAATCTGTCATACTGAATCAAATAGTAACCACATTAAAACTCAGCGCTTCACTCAGCACACAGCAACCTTCAACTCAAATCAGCTGAGACAGAGAACATAACCAGGTTGGACAACAAATTGCCCGCCTGATTTGGTCTTGGAGGTTGTGGGTAATCCGGTGTGATTTGAGGCTCTCGACTGTATATCTTTGAACAACTTAATACCCAGCCGGCTGAATGGAAGTTAATAGGAAACACGTTGGCTGCAAAACCACACAGGGCAATGCGTGTGTGTGTGTGTGTGATGGGGTAGTGACAGCGAAGGATGTCAGTGGGACGGGCTCCCAATCTGAGTGTAATTTCTATGGTTTCCTGAAGAAAGTCACTGTATGAGAAGAAAACTAACATGATGTTTCACTGCTTTCAGAGTATTATTTAGAAACATTGGCTCTGGCTAGTAAATAAGTGTCCTACCATAAAACATCTCATACATCACATTCAACAACCTAACTACCACATCAACTCTAATTACTTGGTGATACAGCTGTATACACCTGTAGATTCTGCACACAACTCCCAAATGAAGTATCTGAAGCTGCAAAAGACAGCACATCTGATTAATCTCACTGAGAAGACGAACACTCGGTGATCTCTTCAGCAACATGTCCTTGAGTCCCTCCTCTCTCTGACTCTGTGGTGACCCCTCCACATACATGCAAGCCCTAGTTACCCCCCTCAAACATTCAACTCCAAGCCTAAACACACAGACTATCAACAATCGCCAACAACAAACACAGTCTCAAAAAGACAGACGAGGTTTGAGCTGCACAGTGATCACTCTTTTCATATGAAAGAGGCGAGAGACAAAGGCATTATAGAGGGAGAAAAATAGGGATGATAGAATTCACAATTCCAGCCATCACAGAAACCACATATCCCACAAGACATTTCTCTATCAAACCGACAGGCATTAGTGCAAATAGCTTAGGGGGTTTTGGAATGTCCTCAGATCCATCACAGCCAAGCGTTCAATGTTTCCCTGACCTTACAGCAGAGAAAAGGGTCACGGGGGTAGCGCTATTGGAAACAGGTTGATCACAGTTTCCACACAGGCACATCCCTTATATGTGAATGAGACAAGACACAGCAGAGGTTGGAAAGAAAGAGAGAACAAGAGATTAACATCATCATTTATCAGCAATGAGTCCTAATTGTCCCACAGCAGAGGATAGGAAGCAATACGTCTTTGTTTATTATCATTTTTCTGAAAAAAGTCTGAGAGAAGGAAATAAAAGGGGGATGTCATCATTCACGGCTCATTTTGGAAGACGTCACATACAAAAGGCTCACAATGATCCCGATTTAATGAGTCATTCCACTGTGATGCAGGACCAGGCGGGCTGTGTCTTTGTTGCCTGGCTATCAGACTCCTCTGCTGGC